CGACCCGGTCCGACGAGGGCGGGGAGTGGTCGCCGGGTCCAGAGGGCTTGGACAAGGAGCGGCTCCTGGCAGGCTTCTAGGATGGCAAGGGGGGGCATGTCTCTTGTCCCACATCGCTTAGGGGGAGTCCTGGGCTAGTTTATAAGGCTTGGGTTCTCTATTCTGTGTAACGCGTTTTAAAGCCGTGAGGGTCAGTGGGCCCAAAGCGGACAATATTACACAGTGTAGACCTCGGGTCCTTACAAATGGTATCAGAGCCGACTCCCGACCGCGTGTGGGGGCACAGCGAGGACGCTGTGCTCGAAGGAGGGGAGAATGTAACGACCCGGTCCGACGAGGGCGGGGAGTGGTCGCCGGGGCCAGAGGGCTTGGACAAGGAGCGGCTCCTGGCAGGCTTCTAGGATAGCAAGGGGGGGCATGTCTCTTGTCCCACATCGCTTAGGGGGGGGAGTCCTAGGCTAGTTTATAAGGCTTGGGTTCTCTATTCTGTGTAACGCATTTTAAAGCCGTGAGGGTCAGTGGGCCCAAAGCGGACACTATTACACAGTGTAGACCCCGGGTCCTTACAATAGGGACCTCAGCAGACTAAATCAGTCAAACGCCTTAAAGAAATTTTGCAGCATCTCCCTCCTCTGCAAATCCCTTTTATTGGGAAACGAGTCTTGCAAACAGATGCAAGCGATGAATATTGGGCTGTTGTTTTATTCAAAGAAATTGATGGCAAGCGTCAGATCTGTAGACACAAAAGTGGAAGATTTACGCCAAGTGAAATGCATTATCACTCAACCCTTAAAGAAATCTTGGCTGTAAAATATGGTATCAAGAAGTTTGAATTTCATCTTATTTGACATCATTTTCTAGTGGAACTAGATATGTCCTCATTCTCCCAGATGCTGAAGTTTAAACAAAAGCAAATTTATCATCTTCAACTCCTCAGACAGGCGGAACAGTTTTCAAAATATTCCTTTGAAACCAAGCATATAGTAGGAAAAAAGAACGTGCTTGCTGATTTCTTATCTATGCCAAAAGAATTTGCTGCACTAGTTTCATCTATAAATATGTATGTATCTCGAAATCCGTTCATTGGATACAAACCTATCAAGATGAAACTTTCTTGGCTAAAGTGCAGTACTCGCCGTAGTTCCTGAATACATCCAGAACAATACCCTTCATGAAAATCTGTCATCATTAATGTGGAAATATCAACTGCTAATTTTCAGCAGGTTTAGAGGATTAAATCTTAGACCCAGCGGATTGTATCCAGAATATCCTTTCATTCATCCTATCTCCCTCAATCTTGAAGACGAATTCCCAGAGGAATTCAAGTGGTTTTGTTGGTATTTGTTCAATCTTTATACCATAGCCGTTGAATTTCCAACAACTAGAATTATTGTCATTATTGGCAGAATTATCTTAGGAGAAAAAAAGTTTAAGCATTTGGGTGACATACTTAATTGGTTCAAACCATTGGAAGGTTGGAAAATGCATGTTTCAAGAGCAGCTTAGAGCTTGTAGACCCAATCCAGAGTTGCATACAATAGTTCTGTTTAGCAGGCCATAGGTTTTTATTTGTCCAAATAGAGACGTGAGCAAAACTCCATCTAATATAGGAGTAACTACCTACAAACTTCAACTAGTTCCAAAAAAGTTTTACAAAACCCTTCCATGCAAAATCTCTCCACTTTCTCAGGAATGTAGAGAACTCCATAAATTTCTATGTCAATACAATTATGTGATACCACAAGAAGTATGGCCAGCCAGTTCTAGCAACGTGTCTTGGGATCATCCAGCTGATCACAGCTATCAGGCAATAATTGATATAGCATTGTGACAATATTATGGCATAGATATGCAAGCAGATATGGATGCTGCTGCTGCTTCGGATAAAGCTACCTCGTCCTCATCTCAAGAGACCCCATCCTCATCTCAAGCTTCTCAGTCACAGAATTCATGGGGAGGACCATTATCGCAAAACCCATATGATTACAGTGAGTTACAACTAGCACTCAGTTTAGGCGATGACAAAGATAATCTGTCACTGTAATTAGATAATTTTCCTCAGCCACATATGCCATCAAGTTCTGCTAATATTGTCTCAAGTTCTGCAGACATTCCAGAGTCTTCACGAAAAAAGCAAAAGTCTTCGGAACTTCATGAAGATGTGGACCTAGAGATTGCGGAAATTGAACGAATCCTCAGAGATTATATAAAACAAAAAGACGGAGATAGTTCGGACAGCTCTGACGATGACAACACTGAAGAACCCATCTATAAATATGATCTCTGAAGCCTTATCAAGTGTGTTGAAAAAACCAACTCATCATGTTTGAAAAACCAGCTCAATTTTTGGAAATCACTGTTCATGGACTGTTCGGCACTGTACATATACTGTTCATACACTGTTCAGCACTGTTTGGCATTGAAGTAATATTGTATCAAGAAGAAAAAACGTGCAAAAACGAAGAAAAACCGTCGTCTAAAGGTGTTTCAGTCGTCTGTAAAAGTCGTTTGTGACACTTTTCAGTCTTTATTGTCACTTGTTAGAATTTTCCTTGTCATCTGTCAGTTGTAAAAGCCTTTATGATCGGTCGGCGATTGTCAAATTATCGGTAATTTCCAGAACTTCACCAATAATTGATCGTTTGTGTAGTCGTTTGTAAAAATGTCTGTATTCGTGCCTATAAAAGACCGTGCCTGTAATATTTAGAGGCACGATATGCTCTCAGAAAGAAGCCTTGAGAAATAAAAATTGTGTTATGAATCCCTAAATCTTTGTTTCTACCTTTCTGCTTGGTATGATTCTCTAAACAAACGTACGTGTGCTGATTAGTCCTGGTACTATGCTTTACACTTGCCATGGTATGGAACCTGTGCATCAAAATTCTGCTACTATAAAGTAGTTCTAAGGTGCGAATCAAAATTCGAAGAGGGGCTTGATAGCTAAAGGGCAGTCCCTTTTATAAAGGCTTAGAGAGCCATTTGTGTGTGGGATAACATACCCGCCATAATCATTGTCTTTGTCTTCCCTGATTTGCATCTTAGTCCCTCTTTTTGGTAGCTGGCCATTCGGGAGGATAAAGAGATCGACACTCCCATCAAGGAACCATTGTTGGAGATGGCGTCATCTTCATATCCATTGGTCCCTAATCAAGAAAACCACCGAGAAGAAAAAGAACGTGGAAGAAAAAAAAGAAACAAATAAAAAATTCTCAAATGAGCCTCACTTTTGACTCTTAGTGAGGGTAATATGGTTAATACACTGTAAAAGGGAGTGTGAGAGCTAAGAAAGGAGCGGAAAAAGCGCGACCCTTTTTAAATTTTAGATTAATATCACTAAAACCTCCAAATAGGTATATTTGTGATAAATTTACCTCAAATTCATTTTTTGACTATTAAAAACCCCAAACTAGTACACCGGTGATTAACTTACCTCTGTTACTTTCTGTTAAATTTTACCGTCAAATTTCTGAGTTGGATAACATATGGTAGTTGACGAGTGTACCGGTTTGGGTTTTACCCTCCGTTTTTCATAGGTGTACCGGTTTGTGATTTTTCGTGATATTAATCTAATTTAACGGAAGATAAATTTATCACAAATATACCAGTTTTGAGGTTTTTTGTGTTAAAAATATTAATTTTGGATAAATTTGTCACAGGTATACCAGTTTGAGGTTTTTTGTGGTAAAAAAATTAGTTTGGGATAAATCCAATTTGGAGTTTTTAGTGTTATTAACCCTTTTTATTTTTTGTCGAATAATGGGGGAGGCTTTGCTAACATAACAGTTTTTGGGCCAATGTGAGAATAACAGTATGTCATAAGCCACAAATTCTTGGTAGAGTGGATCTCACAACAATTTATAATTATTTGTTATTTTTTTTGTAATCCAGAATACGTTATTATTCTCACATTAAATTAAGGTTTGTCACTTAATCATTTCTCGAGAAAATATTGCATGCTCCTGGAGCTCCATGTCAATCACACTTCGCTCAACTCCCACTCCGCTCCAATCATTTATCGCCACGTGTTCGAGTGGCGCCCACTTTTTAGATTTACTCTCTCTCCTTCACGTCCCCCCCCCGTCTTTTTTCTCTCACTCTTTTTCTTTGGCTTACTTTTTGTCGTTTAAGGCCACGGACGACATGGGCTCGAGGCTAGCCATGCACAGTTAGCGTTACCGGCCATCAGCGTTGCGGCCGCCGTCAGCACGTTCGACCAGAGCTGGTAAGCTTTTGGAGAGTGAGCTGGCCAAATTTTGGATGAACGATCGCCGTCGACGTCGTTCAGCCAGATTTGATCGGCGTTTGGAGACTCGGATGGGATTTTCGGTGTTTCCGTTATGGCATAGAGAGTAAGTTATAGTGACGGAGTTTGTTGTTGGTGCGTTTTTTTAATCCGGGAAAAACTAAAACAGATGTTAGCAAATTGCGATGGCCATGGACGAGAGCTCTGGTTTTTTCGTGCAATTGAGATCCAAACGTGTAGAAGAAGAATATCATCAAAGGAGGGGAGAGAGAGTTCTCGGAGATTTTTTTTTTTTTTTTGTCAATGTGCCCAGAAGGATGAGAGGAGAGAGAAACTGAGGAGAAAGGGTATATTCGAAAAGTGAGCCCTACTCCAATACGTGGCAATAAATGAGTGGAGCAAAGCATGACTGACCCTTTATAAGGCTTGAAGTTTCTTTTTTTTAAAAAAAAATCATTTTCAATTAAATACTAAAAAATTTACTTATAATCAATTTTAAGAATAATTAAGTTGTTGAACCTTAGAATAAAAAAGGCCTTTACTCTGATGTTATTAATAAATGTTGTGGTAATAAATTTTTATTTGTAATTCATCATTGATCACAGGAAAAATTCCAAAAAGGGACCCGAAGTGGAGATATTTTCTTAAATAAGGATATGAAGTTGGGCTTTGTTTGAATAAGGCCGTAGAGTAGGTGATTAGTGCGAATAAAGAGCAAAGTGGTGATGAGTCTCCGAATAAGGGCTTGAGCCCTCCGACCGGCCAAATGTTCACCGGCCAGCGAGCAAGTGAATTTTCTGGCGAACGGAACAAGGGCACTTTCGTCCAAAAAGAAATCAGAATTTAAAGTTACCGTCCCTAAAAATAAAAAATCTGTTCTTCCCGTCTTCTTCGTTACCTTAGGAGACAACCCTAATCCTCCTCCGCCATACGCACGACCTCGTTCACCACCGTTGCCGGGTCTGTCCAGGCACTTCTTGACCGGCGTCGGATTCACCGCCGGATCTGTCCAAGTAGTTGCCGGCGAAGAGGTCGCTGAAGTGCGACCGGCTCTCCTTCAGTTTCCTCAGCACCTTCGCGCACGAGACCCTCAATTCCCTCACCAGCCTTTTCCGAGTCTTCAAGGATGTGCAGATGGCCGACGCAGAGACCTTCGCTTTTCAGGCGGAGATCAACCAGCTCCTGAGCTTGATCATCAACACTTTCTACAGCAACAAGGAGATTTTCCTTAGCGAACTTATCGGCAATTCATCTTATGTACGTCTCTCTGCTTATTCCTTTTTATTTGCCAATATGTGTCCGTGATTGTACGTGTGCCCTGCATCGCATTGAGCAGTGAATGGGACACCCGGTGCGGAATGAATTTGAAGGCTAAAATATTACGAAAAAAGTCTTGTTTAGATTCGTCAATTTTACTATCGTTTTGAATCACTTGCATTGACTTTAGGAAGAATTAGTCAGTGATGATGGGAGTCCACAGTATTCAATCATAGACCAAGACACAGTTGTCCCCTGCATCTTCAAGCCGTTGAACGAATCTCTGTCTTGGTTGACAATTGGGACAGTTTCTGAGTTTTAGATGAACTATAAGATCTTTGAGATTTAGTGAGAAGCAGCTAAACTGTCGAGGTTAAAGAGTGAACGTGTGAAGCGGATTAGTTCAAGGCAGCGGAGTGTAGAATAAATTGAATGCGAACTAAGTTTCTTACATCTGGGAATCGCAGGCTGGAGGTTCCTTCGGTCACAAGGGACGTTAGTGGAGACCAACTTAGCAGAGGAACCAAAATCACACTGTTCCTCAAGGAGGATTAGGTAGGATACTTTCCAATCTCCAATTGGATTATGCAGCATTTGTGTGCTTTCAGCAGAGTCTACTTTATTTGTTGAATTTACAAATATAATGGACTGAACAGGTCACTAATTATGGTTGTTGATGTTTGGCTTTCTGTTGACAGTTGGAGTACTTGGAGGAGGAAAATCAAGGACCTTGTGAACAAGCATCCTGAGTTCATTACCTCTGGACCGAGAAAACAACTGAGAAGGAGATAAGCGACGACGAGGATGAAGATGAATCCAAGAAGGACGAGGAGAGAGATTTTGAGGATGTTGATGAGGACAAATAGGATTAGAAAGGGAAGAAGAAGAATATCAAGCACACGAGTGGCAACTCATCAACAAGCAGAAACCACTCTGGCTGAGAAAGCTGGAGGAGATCACCAAGGAGGAGTATGCTTCCTTCTACAATAGCTTGACCAAGGACTGGGAAGACCATTTTCCAGTGAAGCGCTTCTCTGGTGAAGGCCAGCTCGAATTCGAAGCAATACTTTTTGTTCCAAAAAGAGCTCCATTTGATCTCTTCGACACTGAAAGAAGATGAACAATATCAAACTCTATGTCAGGAGGGTGTTCATCATGGACAACTACAAAGAACTTATCCCTGAGTACCTCGGCTTTGGGAAGGGGGTTGTCGACTCCGATGACTTGCCTCTCAAAATTTCCCATGAGATGCTGCAGCGGAACAAGATTTTGAAGGTGATTAGGAAGAATCTTGTGAAGAAGTGCATCGAAATGTTCGATGAGATTGCAGAGAACAAGGAGGATCACAACAAGTTTTATGGGCTTCTCCATGAAACTGAAGTTGGGTATCCATGAGGACAGCCAGAACCGAGCCAAATAGTGGCAAGGAAATGACCGGCTTGAAGGACTCTGTCACTAGAATGAAGGAGGGCTAAAAGCTATTGTATGTTTTGGTCTTGACTTATCTTGTCACTTTTCTTATTGTGATAGTTTAGGTGACATGTGGCATATGTCAACGTTTCATGATGAAGGGAGTATTCACTAAAAGTGCCTCATAAATCATGATGTATCTTTTGGATTTGGAGAAGTGATATAATACATGTGAAGCTCTATCTGTTCAATGTTTACCTGTTTTCCACCTTGTGAATTAGTGGTACAATTACTGAAGTTACCTTTGCCTGTTTATGTGAGGACCTTACTAATTGTTTTTCATCACATCGGCAGCATCGATTCTCAATTAGTAGTTTTTCTGATTCTGGCTTACTTTGCATAGAAATCATATATACAGACAATGGGTGAACCAATTATGAGTTGTTGATTTTGGTTCCTCTGCTAAGTTGGTCTCCACTAACGTCCCTTGTGACTGAAGGAACCTCCAGCCTGCGATTCCCAGATGTAAGAAACTTAGTTCGCCTTCAATTTATTCTACACTCCGCTGCCTTGAACTAATCCGCTTCACACGTTCACTCTTTAACCTCGACAGTTTAGCTGCTTCTCACTAAATCTCAAAGATCTTATAGTTCATCTAAAACTCAGAAACTGTCCCAATTGTGAACCAAGACAGAGGTTCGTTCAACGGCTTGAAGATGCAGGGGACAACTGTGTCTTGGTCTATGATTGAATACTGTGGACTCCCATCATCACTGACTAATTCTTCCTAAAGTCAATGCAAGTGATTCAAAACGATAGTAAAATTGACGAATCTAAACAAGACTTTTTTCGTAATATTTTAGCCTTCAAATTCATTCCGCACCGGGTGTCCCATTCACTGCTCAATGCGATGCAGGGCACACGTACAATCACGGACACATATTGGCAAATAAAAAGGAATAAGCAGAGAGACGTACATAAGATGAATTGCCGATAAGTTCGCTAAGGAAAATCTCCTTGTTGCTGTAGAAAGTGTTGATGTTCAAGCTCAGGAGCTGGTTGATCTCCGCCTGAAAAGCGAAGGTCTCTGCATCGGCCATCTGCACATCCTTGAAGACTCGGAAAAGGCTGGTGAGGGAATTGAGGGTCTCGTGCGCGAAGGTGCTGAGGAAACTGAAGGAGAGCCGGTCGCACTTCAGCGACCTCTTCGCCGGCAACTACTTAGACAGATCCGGCGGTGAATCCGACGCCGGTCAAGAAGTGCTTGGACAGACCCGGCAACGGTGGTGAACGAGGTCGTGCGTATGGCGGAGGAGGATTAGGGTTGTCTCCTAAGGTAACGAAGAAGACGGGAAGAACAGATTTTTTATTTTTAGGGACGGTAACTTTAAATTCTGATTTCTTTTTGGACGAAAGTGCCCTTGTTCCGTTCGCCGGAAAATTCACTTGCTCGTCGGCCGGTGAACATTTGGCCGGTCGGAGGGCTCAGGCCCTTATTCGAGACTCATCAGTCATTTTGGGCCCTTATTTGAGACTCATCAGCTATTTCAGGTCCTTATTTGAAACAAAGCCAACTTCAGATCCTTATTTGAGAAAATGTCTCCACTTCGGATCCCTTTTTGGAATTTTCCCTTGATCACAATTTAATGGGAACTTAGAATTTTACATCACATAGTTCATTTTCTTATATTGTTAGCTTTGACGAATGATGTTTGGCTAGCGTCGCCTGCTTTCTAGAGAGGGAAAAAACCTTCACAAAAATCACAAACTATAACCATTATAACATATTTACCCTCCTGTCCAAAATTACTTTAAAAAAGATGACTTGGAACGTGCATCTTCTTCCATCGATTGGTCAAACTCCACCGGCGGTCTTGCTTCATTGCCCACTGCTGCTACCTGGACATCTGGCGGCGCTCATCGGCACTTGCCCGACAACCCGGCAAGCTTCGAAGGTTGAGGTCAGACCCTCAAGCCAAGCTTCGAGCTCGAGCAGCCATGGCAGCTGCAAGCTTCGAAGCTTGACCTTCATGCTGCTTCGAAGCTTGGCCATGGCAGCTTGTGACCACTCACGAGCTTCGAAGGTGGAGGTCAGACCCTCGAGCCCAGCTTCAAGCTCAAGTGGCCATGGCGGTACGAGAGGTTACCCGGAGATTTGAGAGCTATGCGAAGTGCTGTTCATCCTCGCCAGAAAAGAAGATGAACCGTGCCAAATTCCTATGTCATTGAGTGTCTTTGATTGTATTGCTCTGAAGCTACACTGCAATGCAACACACCTCTCCAAAAGCAAAGAAAAAATTGCTGAGGAGGACTTCATGAGCAGTCATCTGTATGCGTAGCCCAGCCTTTCTTTCCCCTAGTTCTGGTACAACACCTATCCACATTCTCAGCTGCAAGAGCGTCTGACCTCTAAAGGTATTATTCTCTTCTTCCCTTGAAGCCCAATATCCCTATCTTAACTGGTTATTTCAAGCGATATAAATAATCATATTAGATCATTCATTTTAAGCGAAACAAAATTAGCATTATTTTCTATTATTCCTTTTCAAGTGAGTAATGCAATCTCTAAAGTATTCTGTACTTCCATTGAAGCCCAATATCCCTATCTTGACAATGGTCTCTTCGATGGACATGGACATGACAGAGAGAGAGCGAGAGATTTCCACAAGATCTCTATTGATGGTTTGCCATGTATTTTGCTTGGATTTTATTGCAGTCTCAAAACTCATTAACAGGCAAATTGTCTAGGTATAGCTGTCCGCTTCGCCACTGCAAACTTCAAAGATTCTAGCACGAAGAGAATCATCGCACGCTTCAAGTCTGAGCGCACGGAGCTTAAGTTTTAATCGATACTCGATAGTGTATACATCAGTAGATACTGAGAGGAAAAGGAGTTCATTACTGATAGCTGCCCTTGGAGGAGCAAAGGAGCTCTCTAGGACCAGGACATGCTGCATGAACATAATGTATCTTGAACTTTCCGACTCTTAACAGCTGAAGAGTACAATTAAGTAGAAGCAAGACTGAATCAAATGAGTAGATGTCAGAAGTGGAGACTTTAGAGTTTCCATTATTACTATTTTTTGAGGAAATGGTTCCAAAAATTGGTTCCTCGACGAGCCACGGAGCTTCTGCCGGCTGAATTTAGGCCCTGCATAACCACGATGTAGACCACGATTAATGATTTGTTCGATAAAGCTTTTGTGATGGCGAAATGAAGCGCGAAGGATTAAAAAAGGGTCAAATACTGTTGGTATTGTATGTTGATATCGCCAGCATTGGGATCTGCTATTGATGCAAATGCTTCTTGCGAGAAATCAATCTTTCCCGGACACAAATTGGGCAGGCAGCGGTCCACAATCTTCACCACCACGGTCCCGCTTCCGTAGCATGGCATCGGAACGCCTTGGTTCCTCGCACCGACGCACTTGACTTGGTAGTATTGGCCACAAGCTCCACCGTCGTTCTAAAGTGCTTCGCTCGCCGCACCTATCATCATCCCTTGGTCTTCGAATCCATAACAAGCGGAGGCTGCAGAATTTGAATTGAACCACATCGAAGAGATGCACAGACAGACTCCCATCACTTGGTATGCTCATGACAAGATAGAGAAGCGAATGCTTACGCCGGTACGGTGGAGTGTAGAACGTACCGATCCCGTTACTCTGAGCGGTGGCTGTGAAGAACATGGAGGTGAACCATAAACATGTCACGATGCGCAAAACGTTCGTAGCTGGCAGTGCCATTGTCTCTGCAGGTCTTAATATTAATGGTATGAATGTTTAATTTCTGTGCTGATGTGAATTCATTTGACAAGGGGTCTTATTTATAAGTCAGCATTCTCACCTAGTTTCACAGGGATTCGGTCGAATCATATTGTAAGTTCATTTACAAAGTTGCAGAAATTAATAATAGAGAATTGAGTGTTTTCCAACGATAGACGGCCATGCAATCAGACCTCGAGGGTTTCACATTGCTGCATATGCCCTGACATATCCCTCTGCATCACAAAGCTTCCAAAGCTCCCGAGTTCTAAGGAGCTTCACTCGTTGCTTATAGCAAAGAAGAATGAAAAATGGGATTTTGAAATGATTACCAATTTGGGTTCAACAAATCAACTGGTTTGGATATAACTGTGGGCTAGATACCATTTGGATGCAGAGAGATAAGAAGCTGTAGAAGCCATCCTATACCAATACTATAGAAGGCATGCAGATCAATTACTAAGATCAATTGCAATTTTTACTAAGTTATGTCAAGGAGTGTCTATGAGATGGTGCCAAGGGACACTTGTTAAGAGTATTTAGTAAATTAATATTTGACATGCAAAGTATTCATTTGTCACTTAACAAATTAGTACATTAATTAAGACCAACAAAAAAATCAGTACATTAAGGCCCGAGCCTCACTGCCCTCTGGCGACGCTCGAGCTCGTCTGTGGCTAATTGCTAGCATTCACCGTGGCCAGCGACCAGCTTGAGAAGAAGGTAAAAAAAAAAAAAGAAAGAAAAGAAAAAAAGAAAAGAAAAGAAAATAGATCATTAAAAAAATAATTAAAAATCAATTTTTAAAAAATAAAAAATTATTAAAAGTAGTGTATGGAGGAAAACCTGATTTAATTTTCCATACCAAATGGCATAAAATATTTTCCAAGTCTTTTTTCAAATTTCAATCAAATATCGGAAAATTGCGTCATTTTCTTAGAAAATGGCTTCTTGAAAAGTATTTTTCAGAAACATTACATTTTCCGTGAAACCAAGGGAGCCTTAAAGTTCATATTCATACATTCACAAAATATGAAGTCTTGTCCACTGCATCAGGTACATGACACCCAGCTCAGCCACAGAGCATTGCCATTTCTTACACAAGCCAAATGATCAACAACAAGCAATCCAAACATGCAGAAAGCACTGAGATCAATCCTCTGCGAACCCCAAGCAAGACAAATGAAATGTAATAGAATAAGAAGGAGAAGAAAAGGAAATGATATCCAAGAGCTTTAACTTAAAAGAGATCCAGTTCAAGTATTACAGACATGGAAGGACAGTAGACAGTGGACATGAAAGCATCACAGTTCTAATTCTGTGGAGTAACTTTTCATTTGGTAATACGAGCTTTTCGCTCAGCAACTGCTCTCTCCAGCTTGCTAATCCGAGCTTCGAGATCAGCCACTAGCATTTCATACGTTAAACACTCACTGCTTTCTCCCGTATTTTCGTCGGCTAAACCTCCTTCAGTAAATCTCTGCCCTACTTCATTTGTGTCTTCCTCATTGTCTCTTTGAGCTCCTCCAGCAGCAGTAGCGTGGGGCCTGTTTATCTCCACAGGTTCCATTGGTGACCCTCCCATTTCAATGTCAGTTTTCTCCACATTCTTTACGTAGGAACTTTGTGTTTGATGAATCCCTGAGCAATCGTCGCAGTCGCCAACCGAGCAGTTCTTGGCAGCACTTCTTCGCCTTTTGGACCTCAACAGTTCCCCCAGAGTTAGCCTGTCATCATTTTCGTTGGAGTCACCCGTGTCAACGCTTAAACTTTTCGGCTGAAAACCGGGAGGAACCAGGTCATCATTAACTCCCGACCTTCCTTTTAAACCCTGCACCGATCTATTTGAACTCCTTGAAGCCCACCACTCAGCATAGCGAGCTGTTATGCACGGTTCGTAAAGCCTGGCTGGAATGTACAACTGCACATCTTGGAGTGACTTGCTGTAGTTGTCCCAAGCAATCTCGGGGTCCTGGTTGCAGGGAGCAACACGGCCAGGCATATCTTGATCCATCCCAAATTGCATGGCCACTCGATGAGGCGAGTACTTCTCAACAAAATTCAGCCCAGGCAACTCACGAGCCATCAAGCAGCGAGCGAATGACCTCAGTTCCCCATCAGCGTCCTCCTCCAGCGACACCCAGTTCTCTTTCTCACCATAAAATGCATAGGATGCTGAGTCATTCACGACCAAGCTGTAGGGACGCCATTTAAACTGCAATCCGGCTTCGCCCATCATGGAATGCACATTGTGAAGGTTCAATTTTGGTGATTTGTGCCATCGACCCAACCTAGGCTCCCCTGGCTGAACCTCTCTAGAATTTGGCCTGATGGGGGTTGCAAACCTCTCCCAAGCCCATACTTGAACCAAAGCAAACTGCGCCCACAATTTCAGATCAATCGAATCCGATTCATTTCCATCCTTCAACCTGGGAACTAGTCCATCTAAAATACTCTTCAGCCTCCTTAACTCTCTATAAATACGAGCTAAAACAGCAGGCGCAAGGGCGATCCTCACACCTCTAGCCAGACCTATGGCCATCGGCAGTACCCTCTTAGAGATCACATTGCCAGGGCGCGGGAACACATACCTCGACAGCCAAAACGCGAGGAAGGCATCGTGCTCATTATCGCTCCCAGTGTCCCTAAACTTCTCCATCCACTTGCAGCTGTCCGCCTTCTTCGCTGTGGTCTTTGATATCTCGGATATCGCTCGCTTCAGCTTCTTCAGCTTCATCTCAACCTCCAGCGACTGGTCCCTGAGATGGCTCAAAACAGGGGACGATCCCCAAACAGAGTAACCCCCTAAGACCATCACGTCCTCGAGCGTGATGGTGGCCTCGCCCCAGGGAAAAACGAAGGTGTTTGTGCCGGGACACCAATTCTGAGCGAGCCCGAGGACTAAACGAGTGTGCTTATGGATCAAGAATGTCGAACACTTGATGGCATCGTAAATGCCAGCTCTTTTCCATATGAGCTCGTACATGGACTCCATGCGATCGACCCATGCGGTCCAGCTATTGGTCGGGCGACGCCAGTTGTTGAACCTGATGTTGATCGGCAAGTTCTCCGGCGGCGACAAGGTGGAAACGAGCGGAGGAGGGTCGGGCTCCGTCGCTGTGGGTTTGAGAAAGTGACCCGTTCTTAGGGCCGGGTGGGCGTCTCTGTTGGGGGAGAGCATGAGCTCTTTCCTCTCTTCGACTATGAAGATGGGCTTGTTCTCCATGGTTTCGAAAGCGGCAACGGAGGACCAAGATGGCAGAGAAAGCTCAGAATGGTTAGAAGAAGAAGAAGAAGGAGAGACGCAGGTGAGAAGGAGGATTCGCAGGTGAGCTGAAAGTGCAGTAACTCGGACGGGACAGTGACTCTTCTACGACTCTTCGCTTCCAATCCTACGATGCCTCCTTTTAAGAAAAAAAATCGCAAAAAATCTCCAACTATGCCCGACACATTTATTTCAAATTTTATTTTTATTATATTAAAAATTTCAAATTATATCTATTATGATAAAAACAAGATCATTTTTATATCACTTGATATACGTGGACACCATGTTAATACTATTTACTTTCCGACGTCTTTATAAGTAAATTTTTAATGATTCTCATTAACAAAATTTTGATGAAGGATGTGCCACGCAATTACATATTTGGTATGTTTTGTGTCACAGAAAAAAATTTATAATAAAGTATCGCGGTAAACATAATTTAGAGTTTTCGATGGCTTTTGTCCTTGTTTTAAAAGAAAAGGTCTCCACTTCCATGTTATCATCCAATGTTATGATGATGATGATGATTCTCTTCTAATCCATCATTGATCGCAATTTAACGAGAACTTAGAATGACATCGCAGCATTGTGTCAGCCGAAATAAACGATAATTTAGCCAACTTCGCTTGCTATTTAAAAGAATGTCGGAAATACCAAAAAAAAATTAAATTTATGTTAAAAGATGAAATATCATCTGTCTATAGAGTCATTATATTCTAGTTTTAAGGGGGAGTGATATGCATCCGCCCGATATCTTTTCAAGTAACTTTACATAAGAGTTGACTTAGAGGTCCTCACCGAAAGGCGCGAGATGTGTCACGTCGTCAATTAATGTTGGAAACACGTTGGAAACGAAAAAGGGGACAAAGCTAAAATGAAGAAAGATCTCTGAAGTATTCTACACTTCCATTTGAAGTCCTCTGTCCCCATCTTGATGATGGACTCATCGATGGACATGGACATAAAAAGAGAAAGAGACAAAAGTAATTTTCACAAGTCTCGTTTGGAATAAGCACTTAAAGTATGTAGATATGTACCGGCAAATCGTCAAATGGTCTAGGTATAGCTGCTTGCTTGGCTGCAAACGTCGAAGATTGAAGATTCTAGCACGAGGAGAATCGTCGCATGCTTCGAGCCCGAGCTCGCGGAGCTAATGCTTAAATCGGTAGTGTGCACACAATAGATATTGGGACGAAAAGGAGTTCATTACTAACAGCAGTCCCTGGAGGAGCGAAGGAGCTATCTGGGCCCAGGACATGCTGCATCAACATAATGCATCTTGAACTTTCCAACTCTAACAGCTAACGAGTACAATTAAGTAGAAGCGAGACTGAACCAGATGAAGAGATGCCAGAACTCGAGACTTTGGAGACTCCATCATTACTACTACTATTATGAAGATGGTTCCAAATATTAGTTCCTCGACGAGCCGTGGAGCAATTGCGACCGTTGAATTTAGGCCCTGCATAACCACGGTTCAGACCATGATGAATGATTAGTACGATAAAATTTTTAGGATGTCGAAGCGAACCACAAAGGGTTAAAAAAGATTACATACAGTTGGTACTGTATGTTGATATCGCCAGCGTTAGGATCTGCTATTGATGCAAATGCTTCTTGCGACAAATCAATAGTTCCCTGACAAGAATTGGGCGGGCAGAGGTCCACAATCTTCACCACCACGGTCTCGCTTCCGCGGCATTGCATCAGAACGCCTTGGTTCCTGGCGCCGGCACACCTGACTTGGTAGTATTAGCCACAAGCTGCACCGTTGTTCCAAAGTGCTTTGCTAGCCGCCGCTATCATCACCCCTTGGTCTTCAAATCCATAGCAAGCAGAGGCTGCAGTGTATGAATTGAACCAGACACAAGAGATGCACAGACAGACTCACATCACTCGGTCTGCTCACGACAAGATTTAGAAGTGAACAAATATAGAGAAGCAAATGCTTATGCTGGTACAGTGGAGTGTAGAAGGTACCGATCCCGTTACTCTGAGCGGTGGCGGTGAAGAACATCGACATGAACCATAAACATGTCATGACGCGCAAAATGTGGGTAGCTTGCGGTGCCATTGTCTCCGTCTGTGTTAATAGAGCACCACGAGATGTTAAAGGTATGTTTGCTTATTTTCAGTGCTAATGTGAATTGATACGAGAAGGGGTCTTATTTATAAGTCAGCAGGTCACCTAGTTTCACAGAAATTCGGTCACTATCACATTGTAAATTCATGTACAAAGTTGCAAATATCAATGACAGACGGCCATGCAAGCAGGCCTTGAGGGTTTCACATGCCGCATATGCCCTGCCATATCCCTCTGCATCACAGAGCTTCCAAAGCGTCCAAGTTTCCATGCATGGTAATGCTAACCCATGAGCTCAAGTCGTTGCTTAAAAGCAGATAAAAATGAAAGATGGGATTCTGCAACGACAACCATGACAATTGCAACGTGGGTCCAACAAAACAACGTTTGTCAACTGGTTTAGATCGAACCACAGGCTGGATAACATTTGGATGCAGAGATGAGAGTTTCACTTCATTTTTCACCGAATAAGATTCATGGGGAATTATGGAAGAAGCTGAAGTCGGGCACTGTCATGTTCAGGTAATCCAATTGATGACCACGGTTTCGTACGTCACATTACAAGCCTAGACAGAATTTAGTGGTTGATCCCCCAAAAGATGTAGTGAAGCCGACAAGATTAGAGCATTGTGTTTCCATGATATTGCAGCAATCGCACCACATGACTTCCACAGAAGGCCAGCAACTATATGACAGAGGAAAGTCAAATTAACATTATGGCATGATTGCTCTCCAAGAGAAGATGTATGGGTCTTGGTAATAGCTTCTGGATCAGGATTCAAATCAGTATTGATGGACCTGGTGGCCTATTAGGCCTGATTAAGCTCAATTGGTCTGAAGAGCAAAACAGAGGTGCGAACAAGTAATTTCCTTCCGAGACTCGGCTCACCTGGTCTGCTACATTAAGCCCAGTCTGCCGTTGAAGCGATGCGAAAACGACTCTTAACAAAAATTAGATGTACAATAGGTGCATTATAGGATTCGATTGAGAAGCTTACAAATTACTAGGTGTAGGAAGTAGACTTACACATAAAGCCATGATAAGTCCCATAAGCAAGCAAATTTGGGATAACTTTAACATCACTATTATTAATGGTCCTTATGACAGGATTTAGAAGTTCAATCTCGACACATAGATGAGGAACATTCATTATCCAATGGTAAAACTAAGATATATAAAGAAAGGCCGTAGCTTTATGCAGAGGCATCTTGAATTGACATGTCCTTGAATAATCGCACTAAATATATGTACTTAATCTCATTTTATATTGATCAACTGAAAAACCAATTAAAATTCCTCTTGTTTTCCAACAATCTCTTGTTCAAAACTATGGAGAGGCTGAGCCGGAGGCTGGCTAGAGAGGCCATACCGGCAGGGACCATCTTAACATGGGGCCGGTGGGGAGTGCTAGTCAAAGCAAGTTGTGAAAAGAACTCCTTCCCTTATTGAGTACTCGATCACGTCCAATTTGCCGACTAATTCTCCCGCAGGCTCAGCATACCGGACGACTGGATTGCGGTGCATACCGAGCTTGGCGGTGTCATTGAGCCAACTAAGGCAGCGTCCATGGTTTAAGCACTAGCATTTCAAAAGGAAGCGGTGTTAAGGGACATGATGGAAGTGAAGGATTTTAGGAGAGATGGAAGTGAGAGGAGGCATAGTGGTCTGTACCGCCAAGGGTGACAATTTCTGGTGCAGGAAATGTGTTGGTCAGTGTTGGGGATTGGACCTGGAAGCTGGTTCATTCGGTTGCTGGGCTCAAATCGCAAATTCAACCCCTGGACATCACAGTGAGTTATTGGAGCACCGTGGAGGGTCACGAGGAGATATTTGCCAGTGGGGGCGACGTTCTTGAGCTATGGGGATGTGGGCATATACAGGATGCCGTCCATGGAGTTCCCGGGGCTGATCAAGATTATACTGGACCAAGGATGCCCGTGCAGTCCGGATAAAAGGCATTGGAGGCCTGAGACAGACTTGGATTCCTGAAGGGTGGTTTGAAGGGAAATTTCTGGGACGGGTGAATGGCTGTGACGAGGATTATGGAGAGTTCAGGGAGGATATGGCTACAGGTGGTTGGTTTTCGCGTCACGGGCTCAAGATGGCTCCGGTGGTATAGAAGATATATATTGGCAGACATCGCACTCGGCAGGCATGCAGATAGGGTGGAGCTCAGCCATTTTTGGGTTGGAAGGTTTGAAGAGAATCCGTAGTGAAGGAACAAAAGCCAGTTCTCTCTATGTTCAGACTCATAATCTGTGATCTGATCTTTGGTTTCTGATGATTTATTAGCTCAACCATGCGCCATCAACATGAACCGATATCTGAACCTCGAGTTGGATTTCCTTTCAGTATGGATAACGAGTAAAACAATGGGCCTTCAAACGGTTCAATTTCTGCATCTCGAGGGAAGGAGCAAACGTCAGCAATCGTATCGATGGCGCAATTAGATGAAGTGGGCGAACGTCAGCAATGGTATCGATGGCGCAATTAGATGAAGTGAGGCACGGAACTGATACAGGAAGCTGAAGATTGGGTAGAGATGCAGGAAGAGATAGCATGAAGAGAAAAGCTGAAGCCTTTTGTCAGCAAATCACCCAGAGTTGGATCACTACAAGCAGGCCACCGCAACTAGGGAAGGAAACCTTAGAAACTGGTTAAATTTCTGGGGTAAAGACTAGATAATGAGATTTGTTTATGTTCTTTTACGTTCAGATTTAGCTAATAGAACTCTAGTTGTGATTATGCATAAGTATTGGACTACTGTTTGCATTTTTTATCCCTTGGGTCAATCAAATTGAATGCATCGTATATATCATTCACACGACTCTTCAATCAAAGGAAGAAAATTTTTGCTCACAACATCAAAGGAAGACATTGCAAAATGCGATATCGTAAATTTTCTAGTTAATCAAAACTGAAACTTCTTGCTTGTAAAGTGGATGGCAGCTGGAAATACATTAGGCTTCCTTCAGGTTGGATTGACAATTCCTGCAGAATGCTATGTTCGGACTGATAATCACCTCATGACAATGCATCCGATGAGCATGGCCAATGAACAATGGAAGGAAACTTTGAGTGAGCCGAAATGCTGTTGCCATATAACATCACCAGAATCACAATAACATGACTAGCATTGAGCTGGTGTCAACGTCTATCGAGAAAAGGAAACAAAGGAGGGAACCTTTTTGCAACATCATCACATTCTTCATGTTCAACAAGAGACAAAGATGCCAATCTGCACAAGTCAGGTGAGATCAAGCCATGAAGTCATGGAAGGAACAAGAAATGCCATCGGCATCTATTTTAGCACAATACTTGTTGAAGAGCCTGTGATAGCCGGACGCAGCACATCACTCGGAGAGGAAGCGTCATGCGCTCCCTGCGCTATCTAAGATGCTCCACAATTTGACAACAATAATTGATTCATATAAAATCTAGCAAATGTACCCAATACCTAATAGCAGCACCAAACCTCACCTCAGAAAAAAGAACGCGAATCATGGTTGAAGCCAAAACTCATCAAGATCCAGCTGATTTCACCCTCTAAACAAAAACATAGAAAGCATAAAAAACGGCTCGATTATGCATACGGGAAATGCACGGTTCAAATTGGAACTTAATTTAACAAAAGAAAGCATGGAAAGATCCGCCTAAATAAGCAGGCTCTAACAAATGAAAGTACCCCTTGCAAGAGCTTGAAGTGCAAAAAAAACCGAGTCCATCTCACTTGGCAACAGAGAAGGATCTCTCCCAGACAAATGAACCCCCGAATGTATCATCCAAAGCACATCCCTCAGACCAAAAGATTCGCCAGGGAAACATAAGTCCTATCAACACCCATCATGGGGATCCGAAAAAAACTGGTGACCTCGGACATCTAAAAGGAATTTCAAGCAATTCGTTCGTTACGAAGGAAAAATCGAATGCGATGACCAGAAAGGGTAAGAACAAAAACATTAATAAGGACCATGATATCAAAAGCAAAATCTCGTCAGGAAACTAAAGGGATTTGATCATCGAGAGGGGTCAGCCCACTACTTTAATTTCAACGCTCCTCACAGGGGATGCAATGATCCAGAGATATCAAGATAAAGCCTTTGCAATCTGAAAACCCTTCGAGTGCATTCCACATCGGTGCAACTAAGCAACAAAAATGGCATCCCTCGGAAGCTTAGATTCATCAGATAAAAGTCAGCCCACTACTTTTATGACGAAAAAACCGAATCGTCATGGGGATGATAGACCCGGTCGAAACCCGATTGCGATTGCGAGAGAAAGAAGAAGGGAAGAAACGAAAGACGCTCTGCGGAATCGCCATCGGAGCAGGACCTGAGCTTATCAGGCCCCAAAAAAGAGGGACGATGGCAGAGAGATCTGCATCGCGATCTCATACTTACTCGCTCGTATTTGAGGACGACTGAGGAAGTGGAGAAAGAAGAAGAAGAAGAAAGATGAAAAGACCAACAAAAAAAGAAGAAGAGAGATTCGCATCGCACGAGAGCTTCGCCCTCGTGGAAGAACTTCGCTACTTCATCGTCAGGGCATGACGAGAAGCGCCATTGCTGGCTTTCGGCAGAAGCGGCGAGCTCAGGCTGCTCGGACGCTAGGGTGAGGAAGAAGACGACGCCTTCGTGCGTTCTCTCGGTCTCGGACCCGAGATAACGAGCGCAGAGCGCGGTTTTTATTGGGTCCGAGATGAACCGCGTAACCGTAGCTTTTTACGTAATTTTTCTCGATTAATTTATTTTATTTCCGAAAATTTAATTAATTAAAAATCATTTCTTTAAATGATCGCAAAGGTAAATGAATAAAAAATATTTTTATCGCTCGTGAAAATATTTAGATAAAAATTATTATCGATGATGAGTCATCATCATCAGTACTCCCTTTTGGCCATGCCTCAGGCCACCGCGATCATTCATTGTCGGTCCTTCCAACCCCAGCAGTCCCCGACAAGCCAATCCGATAGCTTCGACATTATCGAATGGAGCCTCGCCGCTCCTACGACTTTCATGGTGAAGTGGAAGAGCAATCAGCAAGCGCAGAAGTAGGGAAGAAACGCGTGCCCCCTTATTTTTCAGTTTTCCAAATTTCACATATCTTATTTGGGTATATCCCACTTTCAAGGTGGGATATTTTTCATGGAATCATATCCAAGTTATATCCAGTCATATCCAAATTTCGCATCACTCCAAACACCGATTAGAATAAAAGTTATCCTGTCCAGAATTTTATTTGGCCCATCAAACGCACCCCCATGGTAGATGAGATGTATCAAAGAAATGTTCGAGAAGTAAATTTTCCAATTAATCGATTCTTCTGGTCGGACAAATAATTGATTTTACATGTTGGACCAAATACACTTTCTTTATAATTCTTAAAAATTCGAGTTAACATTTTAAAAATAAGCTAAAATGAACGGGCCCCATGTGGGCCCGTTCATCTGGACCCTTGCCTCGTGGCCCACGATCGAACTACCCACCCACCGACGGAAGAGAAAGTGGGGCCCGGCGAAGTTAACCTCGGAGCTCTCGGCCGTGAAAACAGCCTCTCGACATTTCTCCTCCTTCGTCTTCATCGTTGTTCCGAGCTTCACCTAATTCAGCTCCACAGCAGCAGCAGCAGCAGCAGCAGCGGAGCCATGGAATCGCAGACGTGGAAGCTGTTGCTCTCCCTTTCTCTCCTGCCGTCGTTCCTCCTCGTCCCCGGAGCCAGAGGCTGGACCGGCGAAATCCGCGGCCGGGTCGTCTGCGACGTCTGCGGCGACTCTTCCATCGGACCCGAAGATCACGTCCTCCAAGGTCTCTCTCTCTCTCTCTCTCTCGGGCGCGCGCGCGCGCGCCCGTTGATAAGCGAATTGCTGCTGTGTATCGGGAAATTGAATCCGCATGATCTTTGCGCCCGCCGTGCCTGGTTGATCATGGACAACGTGTGTTGCCTATCCTCTCTGCGAAACGGGTGGAATTTCGTGTTTGATGATGGCCCGTGCGATTGTTTCGATAGACTAGCTTTGAGCTGCGCGCTTATCGATGGAGCGAGTCACTGCAGTGCATAGTGCTCGACCATGGCGAATCTGCTGGCGGGATTGCCATATCCTCACGGAATCGATCAGAATTTGCCTGAATGGTTTTTTCTGTCTCCAAGAATAATGACTGGAGATGAATCGATTACTGGCCCACGTGACACCATTTGGCGTAGAAGAAGCACCTTGTAATTTGTCCTCGGGCGAATAGAATAAAGGCAACGGTGGCACCATTTGGCGTAGAGAATACTAGGTCTAGCGCTTCCACTCCCATTTGCAGCTATTATGTGGTAATATAGCACAGTTGTTGTCATGGTTAGTGTTATACTATCGTTATATATTTTGGGTCAGTCACAATTAGCATCATTTATCTGTGTCATTCTCAATTTTCATCCTTACTAAAACACGAGGCAGGACAATGTTGAGCTTGCAGGAGGCTTGATTATCCTGAAGGTTATCGAGCTACAAGTTCTTTCTCGAAATTATTTTATATCACCCTTAATCTGCTTTTTAGTTTGGAGTGTAAGGCTTCTTGTTAGATTGCTTATGACTGGAAGGATAGGTTAATGCAATTTGACGAGTAGTGGAGGTTGCTTTATCTGCGGTCATTGTGCTCCAGCATAGCTCATCTTCCAATTGGAGGTTGTGATGTTCATGATGATCATACAAGCAAGAGCTCAAAATGAGGTTTACTTGTTCGTAGAGATGATGATTTAGTGTATGCACACTTTGAGATGTTGAAAATGTAAGAACCTGATTGGCCGGTGCTGAAGGTCGAGGTATTCGCGGACCAATTGCTCATGTTTGCTTCAATCAGTGAGATGTGAGTGCGGAAAAGGCCTGGCATTCGGAGGGTCAAGGCCTTTTCTTCTTCTTTTCCAATATTTTGATGAAATTTGTTGGATAGAAGAGAAGACCTTACCATATGCTTTTTGCCCTTTATGATGGAGGAGCGTCAGTTGTTTGGCATTGAAGAAAGAAATTAGAGGTTATGGGAAGAACTAAATTTGATGGAAGAGAGATGCGTGTGAGGACATTCACATCTCAGGGATTTTGCAAGACATCGGTGAGAGTGCCTACCATGACAACATTATAGGGCATAAGATGGGTGACCCACTGGCTGGGGTGAAAGCCCGTCGGTCAAGTTTTTGCTATGAGACACTCAATAACGGCAGTAACTGAGGTGTCCTCCACTGCCGCAAAGGTTTCTAGATTCTAGGTTGTTACATGGTGGGAATGGGGCTTATTCTTCTTTTTATGTAGCACAATCAAATGAGATGGACTTCATTAACAAATATTTGGTCATTTCTGATAAATTGCAATTCGTTACATGGATATCTGTTAAAATTACGAGATTCAATATTTTGGCCGTCTGACAATTTTTATGCTGGTTACTTAGGGGTATACTCTAGTTAATCATGTAAGGTCCATTCTTGTCTTAAGTTGTGAGAGCCACTAGAGACCATTATGCAGTGAAATTTCATTTGTATGACCATGACTACTTTGTTGATTATTGAAAATACATTGACTTTGGCGGTTGCATTTGATACACAATCGTTTAGTTCAGAGGAAGCATGGCTATTGACTTTCCGATCATTCTTGTTATAGTTTTTTCTCACTTAGGTAGGTTTAGAGAATAGTTGAGTATGACCATCCAATGTAGATTGTTTCATCTTTATAAAGCCAGGATTGAAGTTCAAAAAGGAGTCAGAACCTTTTTGTTTCGATGCTGCAAATTTTGTTTTTGAACATTTCATGAATTGAAAGGTGGTAGGCGGTACACATTCATTGAGTTTTTTCTCTTCTATCTGTTGCAGGCGCTGAAGTTGCTGTTCTTTGCATCACAAAATCTGGCGAAGTTGTCAACTACCAAGCATTTACAAACTCCAGGGGGGTATACAAAGTTGCTGAGACGATGCCCGAGAGTGATCGCTGGGACGCTTGTCTTGCGCGTCCGATCAGCAGTTTCCATGAGCATTGCACTCATCTCGGGGGTGGCACTGCTGGCGTCAAATTTAGCTACAACCATCCATCAGGTTACTTCCATACCGTTAGGCCCTTCGTGTATCGCCGCGTTGATGTTCCAACATATTGTTGATTGTGCTTGGTTTTTAAAGGGGGGAAAAAAGAACAAACCGTTGATGTAAAGGTTGCTGGTGCTGCAACTGCTATAGGAGTGCAGATCTGTATGCACTGTCTCATACTATACCGCCGAAAATATAAGATGCTTGGTGATAGTCACACAGATGTACAGGTTGCATGCTACGTGGTCACGGTGATCGCTGTTCTGTTTAATCTTTGAGGCGCGGGAAGCAAACGACAGGTAATGCCATTTGGCGAAAATAGCACTTGACAGGAGGGAAGTTGTATTCCTGTAGTTTTTAAGGCACAAAGGTGGCCAAATAGCATGCCACAATCCTTAATAATGTGCGAAGCCACCAAGATCTTTTCCATTCAAATACTAGGGATGAGCATGGTCTCGGTCTAACCCGAGGACTGGACCGGACCGGATCGAATCAGCCGGTTCTGGACGGTTTTTGAAAGAACCAGTTTTTTGCTCGGAATTGGACTGCCCAGGGCGGTATCCCGAACTTTTTTATTTTCTGCTCTTCTTTCTTAAGTAACTTGAAAACCCAAAAACCGTTGCCTCCTCCTCCTTGCACGATCCGCCTCCGCTCGATCTCTGCTCTCTCTCTCTTAGTTGCCTCATTGCAATCGCTCGTGGCCTTGCCGGGTGCAGTCTTGCCTCAGGCCTTCCCTCATAGTCGTAGCCTCGTCTCCAGCCCTCCATCGCGACATTGCAATCGCTGCCCTCTTAGTCGCCTCAATCTCTGCTCTTCCTTCACCCCTCCCTCGCAATCGCTCACGGCCTTATTAGTTGCCTCCGCCCCTCCCTCGCAATCGTGGCCGCGCCTCAGGCCATCACTTTCGTGGCAAGGGAACTGTGGATCTCATCTGCATGTATTATGTCTTGATATTGAAAAAAGAAAATACGGCCGGTTTCGTCCAACTCGGAAACCGGACCACAATCCATTGGTTCGATTCCCGGCTCCATGGTGGAAATTAACCCAGTTTGGAACTGATCACCCTTATCAAATACCAAGTTAGAGTCCAATGCCTAAACCTCAAAAAGATGTCATAAATTTCACATTCAGCTAATTAATGCCGAAAAACTTCAATCCTCATAAAATGAAAAAGTGACGTGAACAACAAATGAAATGAAATGGAATGGATTAAAAGTGCATCAATGGCAACAAAAGAGTGATAGGAACTCTGGGTGTTCATTCAGTTTTTTATTTCGTTTGTTTAGCAAAAAAAAAAAGATTTGATAGACATTTTCCTAAAAATGATTGCTTGCATTACTTGAAATAACCAGCTAATGATAAATATTTTCATTATCGACATCAATTTATGTCTAAATATTTTTATGGACGATAAAAATGTTTTTTGTTCGTTCATTTTTATAAGCGATACAAGTCATCATTTTTTAGAAAATAATTTTCAAATCATTTATTTTCTACAAAACAAACGGAGCCTAAATATTTTTTTTTTCTTCTTTGCCCTTTCTATTTGTGATAAAAAAAATTATTGTTAAAAATTTAAGGGAACAAATCACGGTCATAGACTTGTTAAATGTAGTACCTGGATATGCAGACAGTGGAGACTAGCAAATTGAGAGATAATAACACAAACAGTCTTAAACTTTGGCCAAATGTGCAATATGATCCTCAAATTTTTAATTTGTTCAATGTCGTTTGTGCACTTTTGATACAAATTCAATATAGTCCCTGAGTTATATGCAATATAATCCCTGAAATAGTTCATGGACTAAATTGAACTTGTACAAAAATTCAAAAACGACATCGAGTAAATTAAAAGTTTAGGGACTTCATAAGGTTAACGTTTAGGGATTACATTAATCAAATTAAAAATTCATGATTCACAGCAACGACTGCCACTGCCACTGCCTCCATGTCGGAGTGGGAAAGAGAATGAGAATGAGTGGTTGTCGTTAAAAAGTCTCTCTTTCTTCACGTCCGCCCTCCACGAAAAAACAGATGGAGGCCAAGAAAAAATAAAAAAATAAAAAACACTCGGAATTTTTTACTAGAGAGGGTCATTTATTTCGCAAAAAAAATAAATAATTTAAAAAAAGTTAAAACATTAGTAAAATAAATTCATTATCGATAATAATTTATGTTTGAATATTTTCATGAAACGATAAAAATATTTTTCGTTTATGTATTTTTATAAGTTATATAACGGATGTTTTTAGGAAAATATTTTTTAAATCGTTCATTTTCAGCCAAACAAATGTACCCTAATTATTCGATTTATTATAAAGAAATTTCGATACTGTGAGGTCAACTCGGATCGGTATCATAGCGATGGAAAGAATCCAACTACATTATAATATTGGCATCGTCATCACTGTATTGTTTGCATTAAGTACGACGTAGTGGAATGCAATGAATCACAACAATGATTTCAATACTTTTGCTTGGCATCGCAGGAATGGAATGGGATAGAATCCTAGAAAGACAATATAGCTCATCGACGTATTGTGAATGAAATGTCACATTCAAATCAAGCATGCCATGGTTATGCACGTCAATAGTAAAATTACTTGTGATGCGCACATATAAACAAGCAAAACGCGAGAAATTGCGGGTCGTTTGAATAGCATACAATATTAAAGATACAGATTGCTTTAAAATCGCAGGGTATTTGTAGACACGAGGTGTGTTGATGGATTTCACATGAATTTCATGACCATTTGGTTGAATGGTTGTTTTGATGGGATTGAGTTCGTCCCCGTTAGTAGGTGTCTCGCACTGACGCCATTTGCATCCGCGATGCGTTAGTTGTTTAGAATTTCATTTGACTCTCTCTCTCTCTCTCTCTCTCTCTCACAGACATCCACAATCATCGCTGGTTAAAATCCAAATCAAAAGCAATCAATTTTCAATTCTTATAAAACTCATATCAAAACCAATCTAAACTTCATCCATCCAACTTTTTAACTCCTCACTCTCTCTCTCTCTCTCTCTCTCTCTCCAAGTACCATCCTTATCCCATAACCCATCCCCGATCACCCCCGCCGGCGGAGGAGATGGAGACGGAGCCGACCAAATCGGGAGCCGTGCTCGTCAGCGGCGCCAACGGCTTCATGGGCTCCTGGTTGGTCCGCGCCCTCTTGGACTCCGGCTACGCCACCGTGCGCGCCTCCGTGTTCCCGGGCACCGACGCCTCCCACCTCTTCTCCCTCCCGGGGGCCTCCCCTTCCCGCCTCCTCCTCTTCGAAGCCGACGTCCTCGACGCCCCCGCCGTCGCCCGGGCCGTCGACGGCTGCGAGGGCGTCTTCCACGTGGCGTCCCCCTGCACCCTCGAGGCCCCCGAGGACCCCGAGCGCGACCTCCTCCTCCCCGCCGTCCAGGGCACCCTGAACGTGCTCGAGGCCGCCAAGCGGTCCGGCGTGAGGCGCGTGGTCCTCACGTCCTCCGTCTGCGCCTTGGTCCCCAACCCCGGCTGGCCTCCTCACAAGCCCGTCGACGAGTCTTCCTGGACCGACCTTGACTACTGCAAGTCTCGCCAGGTCATAAAGTTTTTGTCCTTTTTTTTGTTTTTAATAATGACACAGATAGTCCTGAATTTTATCTCAATGTGTAATTTAATCCTTAAACTTTTAATTTATTCAATATAGTCCCTAAACTTTAACTAAATATTCAATTTGATCCCTGAATTTTTAATTTATTCAATGTGATCCCTGAATTTTTAATATGTATTCAATTTAGTCCCTGAACTGTATGAAAATGTTCAATATAGTCCATGCACTTGAATTAATGAAAGGACTATATTGAACATTTTCAAATAGTTTAAGGACTAAATTGAACATATATTAAAAATTCAGGGATCACGTTGAACAAATTAAAAGTTCAGGGACCAAATTGAACATTAGGTCAAAGTTCATGGACTACATTGAACAAATTAAAAGTTCGTGGATCAAATTACACGTTAGGTCAAAGTTCAGGGACTCTTCCGTCATTTTCCCTTATTTTTTTTAATCTCAGTTTGGAAATTGAACGATCCCCTTTATTAAAAATGTCAACTTTTTTCTTTCGGTCTTGTTTTGTCTTGGCGTGCGCAAGAATGCGTTAATGGAACAATCGTGCAGCATTTCATGGTCATAAATAGTCTGAATGAATTCAGTCGTTGTAATAGCTATTGCATTCAGAACACTTGCGTAGAATTTGTTAGAGCTCCAGGGTACGGTGTCATGAGCTTCCAGTGGAAGAATTATGGGTCCACCTCTGTTTACATAGTTCAATGCATTCGTTGCCATGACACGCATAAAAAATTGGGTTTCGTTACTTTATCATGCAGAAATGGTATCCGGTGTCGAAAACTCTGGCGGAGAAGGCGGCGTGGGAATTCGCGGAGAAGCACGGACTAGATGTGGTCGCGATAAACCCGGCCACATGCCTTGGCCCTCTATTGCAGCCGGGTCTCAACGCGAGCAGTGCCGTGCTGCTGCAGCTGCTTCAGGGATCGACAGATACACAGGAGTATCACTGGCTCGGGGCTGTTGACGTTAGAGATGTGGCCAAGGCACAAGTCTTGCTGTATGAGACACCGGCTGCGTCCGGTAGATATCTCTGCGCAAATGGTATCTATCAGTTCGGTGATTTTGCTCAAAGGGTCATGAAGCTCTTCCCTGAGTTTCCTATCCACAGGTTTGCATCTTCAAAGCTCCTAAATGTTACTCGATTGGTCTTTAAAGAACTCTTCTTATAGCTCTTTGCCTATGCTTCTAGTGAACCACCGACACAAATGATTAGTAGTGTTTGAATATATTAGGAAACATATTATTCTATTGCAGTGGAGTACGGCATCCAGTATCCTGCATACTGAAAGCCCATTTGTTCTCCCTAAGATTTTTCTTTAGTAATTCTTTGCTTTCGCACTTTCTATACAGCATAATGCACCTCACTTTAGTTGCTCAGAGTGGTGATGAGTTTTGTAGAAATAGCCTGGTGGAGGAAGATGATGGAACTTCTGGTGGTTTGCTTTTCGATATATGTCGGGAACCTATATCAATTATCCAGTTCCAGTGCCTCCGCGGTTGGACTCATTAGAAATTACAATCATTCCTACCAATTGAACATCTTGCATCTTGCATCTTGCATCTTGATAGGCTGTGGAAGCAATGACGGATTGGGATTTGGTGACACACATGTATCCTGGTGTCTGATTTTTGCAAGTAACTGAACATGGGACATGTGTACTCAGCATTAAATAATCCAATTTTGGATATTAGCACATTTTATATGAAAAAATATATATATAATGGCTAGTCTGGATTGACTTTTATCTTTTTACTTTTCCTTTATCAAAATATTGTGGCTCACGCCCTTTTAATTTTTTTTTTTAAATCTGAAACACTAGAGACTTTCACAAAGTGCAAAAGTTGACATGTAAATCCACATATAATTTTTTGAAATTTGAATAATATTTTTAATCTTGGCAAGTTGTTGTTACTTTTAGTTAAGCTGAACCAAACATGCCCTGACATAATTGAGAAGTCCAATTCTCAGGAATTAGTGTGACATTCCGAATTTCGACCGATTTTTGGGATTTATAAAACGTGTAATTCGTCAGTGTGCTTATAGTAAAATCTCGCCCGGGAACTGATCACTCCCGGTTATTATTTTTAAAATTGAGATTTCACTAGAATCGCACTCGATCGAATTTAGCCGTTATTTAGAGCCCAAACTTTGGTGTCGAATTTCTCGGAATTCCGGGACGAATTTAATTGGATGGTGTCGATATTATTGTGGCCAACCTCGATATTGCCCGGGATAGGTGAAAAGTGAATTTTTGACCGGGTACAGATTTGGACTGGTAGACCTCTCTCGCGGTGTGTTTTTATTAATGCCCTTTGGCCAAATCCTATATTATTAATTAGGTTTTTTTTCGGGGACCGTTAGATTGTTTTTGGATTTGAATCGTGACCGTTAGATCGTGATTATTGCGATTTGACTTTTCCTCTCTCTCTCTCTTTCCACGCCGGTTCCCCCCTCATGCGCCTGACACCACCTACCCCACCAGCCCCATCATTTCCCCTTTCTTCTTTTTTCTTTTTCTTTTTCTTTTTCTTCTTTCCTTTTCTTCTTTTCTTCTTCTCCTTCGCTGGTCTTCTTCTTCCGCTTGGCTTCTTCTTTTCTGCTGCTCACCGCCGGCTTGTCCTCGCCGGACCAGCCACCACCGAGCGCCACTCCTCCCCTCCGTGAACCACCCCCGTCCCAGCTCTCCCCCTGGCCGTGCGACACCACCCCTGGCCGCCCGGAACCTCCCGTCGCCGGTTCGCCCAAGCCGCGTGCGAGAAGCGCCTCTCGCCGGTCCGCCCACGCCCGCCCTCGCCGCTCGCTGCCGCTATCCCGGCTGCTGAGACCACCACCGCCAACCTCCATTTTTGCTTGACTCAGCCTCCAAGCCGCACCGGACAGCCAGCCACAGCAGCCGCTCCCTTCGCCGCGCTCGTTCGTCGCCCGTCCGCCGGTCGCCGAGCCCGAGCCGGAGCAACTCGAGGACACTGCGGACCGCCCTCGCCGCCGCCGTCGTCCTTGCATCGTCGCCGGCGTTAGCCGAGTAAGTTAACCCCTAATCCCGTGTTTAGGGTGTTAAACTTGCTTAGGGTAGTTTAATTGTGTTTAGATTAATATTAGGTTTGTTTAGTTGGGTTTAGTTGTTAAATTATCGGTGTTTGCGCGATAGGTTATCGCGTATGTATTGATAAGTTATCGTGGTGTTGTGATAAGTTATCGATTATTTTATTAAAGTATTATTTTCGGAATTAACTATTATTTTATTATTTTCGGATTAAATATTAATATTTTATTATTAAATAATTAATTTCCGAAAATTAAATAGTATTATTTTCGGAAAATTTTCTAACGTTAATTGTGATGCCAATGTTGGATTTTACCGTATAAATTGGCATTTTTAGCAAATGATTTGAATGATTTTGATTTGAGAAAATATTTCGAATTTTAGAAAATAATTATTTTCGGAGATTATTAATTAATTAATTTCCGAGGTTATTTATTATTATTTCGGAAAAATCTTGAATCTCAAATTATGATTTTCAGCTTGTATGGTGACGATTATGGCGTGAATTGTTGTATTAAATTGATTAGATGGCTAATTGTTTAGAATGGAAGTTTTCAACGAAAATTTGTGGGATTAAATTATTTTTTTGGGTATGCCAAGAATGACAGTGATGCATTGTGGTTGATAAACATGTTTGGCATCGAAGTTTGCAGGAATTGATTGACTGTTTGCATGTGTGACCACTTGGTTTGTTATGCGGCATTGTGTGAGCACTATTCATGGACGCATGGGCTAATTGAAAAGATAATAATTGGCCGGTATGCTTGTGTGCTCGTGTGGTCACACGTTAAAGCCGTCTTGCTGTGTATCGCTTGACGTTGCCCGATTTATCGGATGCCTGGGGATAATCTGGAGTGCCGATACCCCGGATGCCTTGTCGCGGCCCGAGGCCGGACTCGATGCTCCTTACGGGATACCATCTTACTGTGTATCGTTTGATGTTGCCGTATTGGAATGCCGTCATCCTGTGTATCGTTTGACGTAGCCGTGCCCGACGGGGCGGGACGGAGCCCGGTTTTTACCGGTAGACCGCCATCTTGCTGCGTATCGCTTGATGTGTGGTGGCCCCGAGGGGGCGTAATAATTGGAATACGTGTGATGCATAGTGCTTGATTATGGGGTAGAAACTGCTAGGCATGGTATGGGACGTGCCCAAGCGGGTTTTGCCTTATAATCGAGACACGCGCGACTATGTTGCATTAATGCATGGAAAATCTCGTTAAATGCTTCGAGTATGTGACATATGCATTTCATCAACGTGTGTACCAAGGCGAGGTGAGGATGCATGTGGTTGTTAATGATGTTGTTGTTGCCGTTTCGCCTGTTTAGGGACCCCCGTGCGAGTTGGCCTCCTAAGCGGGGCTTAGGCCGTTAACTTATTGAGATTTTATCTCATTTGTTGTTGTTAAACCTTTTTCAGGACCTTAGCTTGTCGTTGCTTCTTATGCGGTTTGGAGTACCGCAGTTTTTGGTTGATCTTTGAGGGTTAGGCCTGAAAGCTGATCTTTTGGATGGAGTAGATTAACCCTAACCTTTGTCTTTTGCTGGTTTTTGTGGAAACGCCCGGAGTGGGCCTGTAAGTATGTTCCCAGGGGTTAATCAAGTGAATATTAAAATGGCTTTTGTTATGTCTGGTTTTCCTCTGCTATCCCTGTTTATTATTGTTGTCCGGGGGATTGTTGTGTTCGCTTCCGCATGCGTACTAAAGGATAAAATGAAGGGTCGGCGACGGGTCCTGGGACGTCGCATTTTAACGACCGTAGCGGGATGTCGTGCGCCCGCGGGGTTCGGGGCGTGACAATTAGAGTTTGCGAAAGTCTACAGCTTTTTAGGACGGTTTTGTCTTCTTTTCAAAATTTATGATGCTTCGTCTTTGAACTTCTTGCACGGCGGTTTCGTGCAATAGTAGCTCTATACCAGAATATCAAAACATGGCATGCTTGATGGCGAAGTGTCTTTTAACACATGACCATGTCTGTGTTCATGTCACATCTCCTATGATACTTCGGCCTCAACTGCCATTTGCTAACGTTATTCGATGTTTCCGTTAGTACTCTTTTGTTATTTTCCCAAGGATCTAGTATCCTGGAAGATAGTCTTTGTGCTCACTATCTGCTCCTTTCTTCTAATTAGTTCCTCACTACTTTGGTATATGATGGTTTTATTGGCAGGAGCCTAAAGTGGACATTGTCTATCACATGCGTGCTCACTTTTTTTTCTGTAGATTCTCTCCTTTGGCATCATCACTGTACAGTTCATATTCTTGATTAAGTCTTGTTCTAGCTTCTTATACACACTTCCAACTTCTTGAAGTCCTCATGGCCCCTGATTGGGTTTGAGAAAGTATTATTCATCTTTCAGAGGTTGTGCTATGGCAGATAGAGGTTTTTACTTAATTGCAGACGTTAGTTTTAACTAAAACAAGTTAGCATGATTGTAGAATCAACAGCTAGCTGATGGTTATGTAATTTAACGAAGTCCTGTGCATTTCGCATTCCACAAAGCTGATCCTTCATTTTTGAGTTTTTGTACCAAATGGAAGAAAACAGAATATATGTATTTCACCATCCTTGATGCACTGAGGAACCAAATGGGATGTAATGATACCTCTGCTGTTCAAATGGCAACATAAAGTAAATCTTTATTCCTTTTTTGATTTCTTCAGAGTGCAACTAATGCCTTTGTCCTCTTTACCAAAAAAAACTAATGCCTTTGTCCTGTTGTTGGATAATGTCTATTTACTTTTATATTGAATCCTTCTTCCCTCAATCAAGTCATCTAGATGTAGCTTTCTCTTCTTGTATGTAAGGCAGCATTACCAGTCACATCTCTTGTTGCACAGGTTTACAGGAGAAACCCACCCGGGTATGGCAGCGTGCGAAGATGCAGCGAAGAGATTGATCGATCTGGGGTTGTCCTTTACACCTCTTGAAGATGCCATCAGAGATGCGGTCGAGAGCCTCAAAGCAAGAGGCTACTTGCAAGGATAATCACAATGTTGGGGGTTTTTCTTTTTTTATTTTTTATTTTGCTAAACTAAACTAATTTGCAGTGTCTTGGTTTGTCTGTTTGTTTTAATACCTTGGTCCTCTGAGCAAACGAGTAAAGGTGCTTTTGTAATCATAAGTTTAAACTTCTTTGCAGAGTGTATTTATTCTTAGAAATCATCCCCTCTTTTGGTTGCACATGCAAGGGCAACTTGTATTGCAGTCTTACAGATAAAAGATTCTACATCTACAGACAATGAACATTCAATAGCAATTTAACGGGGTCTCTGCTGCTAACATGTGCCTACGAAGAATGTAAAGAGATAACTTGTCGTTTTAGTGTATGTCTGACGGGAAACTGAATATGATTTTGTACAACTGTCTTGTAACGTTGTGCTGAGATGGTATTTTTCTAGTGGGGCCATGTTTGTGCATCTCTCAGAATTATTGAAAAGGATATCATTCTTCTATATTCTCACAACAGAAAAGATTCAATACAAGTACAGCGAGACCGAGAAATCAATCACAATCACAATTTTTTAGTACAGCGAGACCGAGAAATATTTAACCTTCCCTTCATAAGGTTAAATATTTTTATGGACAATGAAAATGTTTTTTGTTCGTTCATTTTTATAAGCGATACAAGTCATCGCTTTTTAGAAAATATTTTTCAAATCATTTATTTTCTACGAAACAAACTGAGCCAATGCATTTTTTTTATTTTCTTCTTTGCCCTTTCTATTTGTGATAAAAATTATTGTAAAAAATTTAAGGGAACAAATCACGGTCATAGACTTGCTAAATGTAGTACTTGGATAAATTATTATACGTATGCAGGCAGTGGAGACTAGCAAATTAAGAGATAATAACACAAATAGTCTTGAACTTTGACCCGATATACAATGTGGTCTCCAAATTTTTAATTTATTCAATGTCGTTTGTGGAATTTTGGTACAAGTTCAGTGTAGTCCCTGAGCTATATGCAATATAATCCCTAAAACAATTCATGAACTAAATTGAACTTGTATAAAAATTCAAGAACGACATCGAATAAATTAAAAATTTAGAGATTACATAAGGTTAAAGTTTAAGAATTACATTAAGCAAATTATAAATTTATAATTCACATTATACATTAAGTCAGAGTTCAGAAATTGTTTGTATCATTTTCCGAGCAAATTAATTAGCAAAATCACGAGAAGATGTGCTTTTTCTACCAATCTATAATAATCAGCCACCGACATTACTTCCTCGGGGAGCCCATGCTGTCGTGGCGACATCCTATAGGACCAGAGGACGTGTCCCTGTCCCCCGAATCTCATCTCGAATTGACGATATCACCCCCGACTTTTTTCGCGTGCTCTCTTCAGTTGAATCCCTCGAGCAAAGGGCAAAGCCGTCGATCTATATAAACCCGAGAAACAAACGGTCGATCGAAAGCATGAATTTCGCCAAAGACCATGGAAACGGAAATTCAGGGATGAGATGGTAGCGCGAGGTCCCTCCATTTTCGAACTGCACAAGAGGGAAAGGAAGAGAAGATGATCAGAGGCTTGAAGCAGCTGAGCGCGGCATTCGGAGCGTCGTTCCTGTGGCTCGTCTGCTTGATCTACTTCACTCAGGTTCCGATTCGAATCCCACGCTTCGTGCTCGTTCGCGTTCGGACAACGCGGTTCGTTCGCTTTTTCTTTTGCCGTTTTTCGTGCTAGCGATCGCAGGAAGGATCGAGGGTCGCGTCGTTTCGTGGGGTTCAGTGGTTTTCCGGTGTGTGGTTCTTGTTTCGTGTGGATTGTCGGGTGAGAAATGATGCGCGTTGATGTTTGGCGCTTCGCATTCGTTTCGGTATCGGAAGATTTTCTGTCATTGATGGTTTTTTTTTTTTTTCGCTGCGAGCTGGTTGGGGCTCTGAATTGTGCGGTTCTGATTGTGGACGCGAATCTCGCGTTCGTGTTTGGTGCTTTGATGGTTGATGCGGATGGGTACCTGTGCCTTCTAGCTGGGAAACCATACGTGTGCTTGGTTTTTGTTGTTGCTGTCGCTGCTTCAGATCCAATTCGTGATGGTTTCTCTATTTGAACGCAGGGTTTCAGGTCATTTGCGTGGACTGCGGTTTCGTACCAGCTCAAAGACATACTCAAATTGTCGCCCTCGGCCTCTCAATTTGTGTTTTCAGTTGCATTTTTCCCATGGAGCATAAAACCTTTATATGGGTAATGCATTGAATATGCCCTACAGCATTGATCATAGTTATATCTGCTAACATGGGTTTATTTTTTTGGGCCATGTTTATTACAAGACTGATCCTCGATTTCCTCATCCCCTGATTTTGCTGGTGTAGTCATTCTCTTGTCTGGAGCGATGTATATTCCTTTGTCAGTGTTCTTTCTTTCAATTTCTTCCTTTGACTTTGCTATGTTGTTGCGTGCAGAATTGTGTCAGACTGCATTCCGATTGGAGGAAGAAAACGGGTTCCATACCTGATTCTTGCGACAATACTGTCTCTTGTGCCATGGCTTATTTTGGGCCTAAATGCTTATTTGAGGAAATCTACATGGCACCTCACGATCTTCTTAACTGTCCAAAATCTGGGCTCGGCGATGGCTGATGTTGTCATTGATGCGATGATCGCTGAAGCTGTGAGATTCGAGAAGTAAGCCCCTGCACTCTTCTACTTTTTGAATTTTTCGGAAAAAATTATAGTTATAGCTTCCACCTTGCTTGCGATTATCATACTGCTCAATGACTTTTTTTCTCTTGTTACCCTATCTTAGGGCATTGGGCTAGAGCAAAACGTTTACATTGCAGACATAATTCTTAGATTTGTAAACATTCGCCCTTGTTCTTGCTGCCAATGAAAGATGCTTACTTTTATATGAGTGTTATTAGAGAGAACCCTTAGTGCACTTGCTGAGCAACAAAACAAGGAAAATTTATGGTATCCAAAACAGCGACTTTCTTTCTTGTATGTGCAATCAATGTCTTGGAAATCCAACAATTAAGTATGCATTAACAGTGTTATTAAGTATGCTTAACAAGTGTCCCAAAGGCATTCATTAACAGGATTCTTTTAATATTTCTAATCAGACTACATTTTCAATGGATCATATGTGCTTATAATTGAGGGAATTATGTACAATTAATTTGTGACCTGAGCATAACCTGAGCTCTTATTGCTCTTGTTCAGGGCTTCGTTTGCTGGAGATCTTCAGTCAATGTCTTGGTTTGCAATGGCTTTTGGTGGTATATGTGGGAGTTTATTAGGCGGATATGCGTTAACCAATGTGGAGATAGCAACTATTTTTCTTCTATTTACCGTGCTGCCAGCTGTACAATTACTGTCATGCGGTTTAGTAAAGGAGAATCCCCCACGCAAAAACGATGAAAAAGATCATCCTAAAGGCGAACATCTGATGAATGGCAATAGTAGTTTAATAGATGAGGATAGCTTTACAGTGAAAAAGCAAAGTAAGAGTACTTCGAGAAGAAAGAAGAGCCGCAAGAGTAGAAAAAAGATGGATGTTGCCTCTGATAAGTCCAGACCTTTCCGGGAAGGTGATCAACTATTCTTGAAATGGCTTTGCTCTCTGAAAAATGCTATTTACGATCTATACCGAGCTTTTCAACAGCCAGTCATATGGAGGTAAGTGGACAGAAAGCTTAACCTATTGAAGCAATGATTCTTTAGCATTTTAAGGTCACTTGTCCTCTTGCCAGATTTTATGGTCTTTGGCACTCACGAATAAATTTATGGAAGTGAAGTTGGCTATAAGTATCAACGATTAGTCAATGACTCTGTTTTATACTTTGTCCAAGGACAAAATTCCTTGTTACTGGTGGTTATGCCATCAGATGATCTGCCTTATTCTTCGTATATGTTACCTAGTGGATATGCACATAAGTACGTCTATTAGCCTTGTCCTTTCTATAGAGTTAAACGTGTCTAAGTAGTAAAAAGGAATACCCTTTTCTTTGTCGAATTCTTTGTCCTGATTGATTTTATGATGCATTCGCCAAATTTCTAATCAGGTGCTTTTCCATTTCTTTTCCCTGATCCTTGTAAGACCAGACCTATGGCTTGGTTTTTTCTAGCTCATGTCACCGTTCCAAACCTCTCAACAGTCATGTTCTACTACCAGACGGAGTTTTTAAAACTGGAAGCATCGTTTTTGGGGACTTCACGTGTCGTTGGATGGGTAGGCCTCATGATTGGGACCTTCATATACAACCGTTTCTTCAAGACCATGAAATTACGAAAAATCCTCTTGTGAGTATTGGCTGCTTTATGATATAGTTTTCTCTTTGGTAAATATGTTCTTCCGTAGTTCAGTTTGCTGATGGTGCTTCGTTTTTTATCTATGAACACAATGCAGGTTTGCTCATGTTGGTTTAGCCTTACTGACCACACTGGATATGATTCTAGTATCTCGAATAAATGTTTCGTTTGGAATATCTGATAAGGTTATGGTTTTGGGTGGATCTGCTCTTGCCGATGCAATTAATCAACTCAAGTATGTGCAGTGTGTCTTCATCTGCACTTGACTAAGATCTGCTCTTGCTGTTCAATACTGTTCTTAATTGAATTTACCAGCATCGCCACCTCTCCAGACCATCCTTTCTCATAATTTGCGGGCATTTCTTTTCCTTGTGAATGCAGGTTCATGCCATTCTTGATTCTATCTGGACAGTTGTGCCCGCCTGGAATCGAAGGGACTCTGTTTGCACTCTTCATGTCAATCAACAATTTTGGAAACACGCTGGGTTCATTTGTAGGTGCCGGCTTGGCTTCATTCTTAAACATCAACTCTGGTTCTTTTGACAACCTCCTTCTAGGAATTGCTATACAAGTCGTCTGCATATTCGTTCCGGTTGCTTTGCTATTCTTGATACCGAAAGACGCCACAGGGAC